GCGTATTTTCGGTCTCGTATACGAAGAAACTCGAAGTGTATTAAAAGTTTTTCTTGAAGATGTGATTAAAGATGCTATTACTTATACAGAGTATTCTAAACGCAAGACTGTGACATCTCTTGATATTGGTTAGTTATCATCTTTAATTTTTATTACTATCATTACTTAATTACTTACTATTATTATAATTATTGCAGTTTATGCACTCAAAAGGAAGGGTATGACTGTTTATGGATTTAACAAATAAACTGAAATTATCATATAGTCAAAACTATTATTAACAATATTAATTATATTAATTATCTTATCTTTCTCTTCTTGCATAAAATTATTTATTATTACTATTGATATTAAACAAATAAAAACCATTGCTTTTATCAATTATTATTATAATTTTTGTTCCTGAAATTCTTGGTGATATAAATGTTCACTTTGTCTGGTTTTGTTGCAGCATGCCCCAATTAATATAAGGAATGATCGGCACGATTTTTTTGACTATTTACTATTTACTATTTACTATTTTTAAACTTAAAACAGAAACAAATATAAGCAAGCTTTGTGGAACTTTATTCTATAAACGTATTAAGGGAGCAGTTTCTGTTGACGTTACAATTAAATTTGTAACATCTTTTTAATTTTTTATAGAATGGGATATTTTATAATTTGTAATTAATAATCGCTTGTAATCGCTGTAATTACTATTTGATCTCATGAATCTTCTTGGAAGAATGAGACTTCACGCGTGTATTAAGAAGATTGCGAGATAAGCTTTACTTTGTTGTTGTACGGGTTTCCATTCAATTGATTCATTTTATTCAACGGGTTTTATTTTTCTATCAAAAAAATTAAATTTCGTCATTTATCATCAATATTTTTGTTTCATATATTTGTAACACTTTGTGTAATTAATGTTTATATTTATGTTTATTGGAAAATACTCATATATTAATATAGAATTCTTTCTTTACTCATCATCAACAACAAGGCTTATTTATTTTCTTTTAATAAATTCTACTCTCTTTTATTCTTTTAATAATTATTTTTTATTTTTCATAAACTTTTGCATAAACAAGTCCACACACATAATTAATATATGTTAATATAGAATGGTAATAGAATTCTTTCTTTACTCATCATCAACAACAAGGCTTATTTATTTTCTTTTAATAAATTCTACTCTCTTTTATTCTTTTAATAATTATTTTTTATTTTTCATAAACTTTTGCATAAACAAGTCCACACACATAATTAATATATGTTAATAAAATCAACAAATGTTGTTATTAAAAAGGAAACCAGAACCAGGTTTTAGAGAAATAAGAATTAACGTTGAACTAAAACAACAAGAAAACAATATTTTCAGTTTCCCTGATTTATGTAAAGAAGCCGGTATAGATCTTACAGGACCAAAACAAAAATATTATCATTCTGGCTCTGAAACCGACGATAACTCTGCAGAGTCTACTAATTCTAATTCCGATTCTGATTTTGATTCAAACAACAATAATGGAAAGAGCAAGAAGAA